ACTGGGGAATAAACAGATTACCACAGTAGTCTTAAACATAGTACAAATTCTGCTTATTTCAATGGGACTTCCATGCAAGACATTTAGGATTTGGGGAAATCACATCTACTTTTTTGTTGTTGTTGTTGTTGTTGTAAAAAAAAAAAAGTCTTGGTCAAAGCAGAAGTTGTCCTGTCGGCTTAAAAAAAGAATTCATCTTACAGAAAGCTCTGAAAACTTCAGAACGCCGTTTCAAAGCGATTGTTGACACTGATTTCGTACCAAGACCATCTGAAATCTTCATATTACTTCATCCTCAAACAAAAAAGAATGTATACACCACAACAGCAGGATGTAAATGGCTGAGTTATTATTTTTGGAACAATGCATACGCAAAGGTTTGTCCCAGCTGCCCAATGACATCATGGCCACTATTAAGTTCACCTTTCCAGGTGCAGAAATGTAACAATTGCTTTTGACCATGTTAAGAATGCAACGCTTAATTCATAATATATGAATAAGACTAATTAGAATAGATTGACCCAAGGAAGTAAGAACTCCAACCTACCAAAAGTTTTACTACCAACTATAGTTTGCCCCCCTCCAAAAAATTCTAAATGGATTTGTCTTGATGAACTCAGTCATTTGATTTGTTAGCCATGGTAATATATACATATATATATATTCTAAAATATGCAGCCCTTCAGCACAATGCGTCGTGTGACAAACAGAGCAGTTCCCTTTCTTATAATTTGCTCAAGGAAACAGGTTGTTTCACAAACCATCACAGGAACAGGACAGCCTGTTCAGAGAGGAGGCTTGTACCAGATTAACCGGGCAAGCGAAAACAACTAAACTGACCCAAAGAGCAGGATTCTTTTTGAGAAAACAGATCTTATACACCATACACAACTGTTGCTCACTCCCTTCTATGTGCCTATTTTTTGTTGATATCTTTCTTTTAATTAGAAACATATATTGCATGATCTTCCTCTCTCCAGATCTCTCCTTTTCATTCATCATTCACACTGCTCTATTCATCCGAGCTTATCTTTCTTCAAGACCGCCCCAGTCACACTGCTCCATCCCTCCATCCAGTTCCAAAGCCCGCTTGGTTGTGTTTTTCTCAATGGCTCCAGACCTCCAAGCCCATCGGCTGCTCAGAGCCACAACGCTGCCGTAAGACAGGCAATGCAGGTCCACGGCAGGACCAATCTGGACGTGACAACTGCAAAAGACTTTGCTCAGAGTCCTACAGTTTCCACAGATTTTCACGCAGTCATCTATTCTTATTAGCCAAATGTGTAGTGCCGGGACAAAGGGTGACTCCCAAGTCAACAACGTCTGTGGAGCCAAACACAAAATCAAGAGCCAAAGAGATACTTTAGAGGCACCCATCCCAGGTGGAAGTTGTGTCTTCCCCTCCCCTTTAAACCACAGATCCTTTCCCATATCACAAATGGCCTCTGGCACAAACCTCGATTTCAAAAGCATCTTGTGGTATGACAGGAGGAACTGCTGTCTGAGAAGCCAGAACTCCTTTGGGCAACGCAGAACTAGCTGTGCAGTCCTTGGAATCCGTTTCTTCTGAACAGTAACCGGTCTTGGATGCAACAGGGCTTTCCTGCTTCACGAGCTACAGAAAAACTAGAAGTGTGCTTCCCAGGGATCTGCTCCCATCCTATTCAATTATCAAACTTTATAACAGCCCTGAGTTTAAACAAAAAACAAAAACAAAAAACAGAAGCATTACGTCACGGATGAGCCAATGTTATTGAAATCAACCCTTGTGCAGAATGAAAAAGGGTAAAATTTGGCAGGAAGCAAGTCTAAAATTGTACCTATTACCAAAACAACAATTAGCACACAGTGATCAAAGGCCTAGACCGGAGGGTAAAGAACTTCTGATGAACAAAGCATACTTTGAGTCCTACTTTTGTACCGCAGGTCAACATTTGCAGACAATGGGGCCGAAGCAGGAACCACCACCTGACTGCAAATGCAGAGAAAAAGTTGCACAACATTTGCCCAGCGGTGAGTCACAGCAGACCTAATCAAACTGCCATGTGGTTTTAAACGTACAGACACTTTCTTTGCTCACTTGCAAAAAGCACACGGGAGCTTTGAACACAAGCTCTGTCCCAGAGGAGAGGTGTCTTTTTTAAAAAAAAGAAAATCTGATCCAACGGTCTTTAGGACCTACGTAGTTTATCACGTTCCTGACTTATTATCATGTCCAGAAGGTTTGTGCTGATGAGCGGATTATAAAAGGAAGGAATGTATACGATCTCCAAGCGAGCACCCGTAAAACTTGGAGAAAGCTGACAGCAAATTCCAGGGTCACACAAGCAAATGAGACTTTACTAGTTCTGAAAACGCAAGCAGAGCAAAAGCTACAGACGCAGCAAACTGCCCAGGCTAAGTAAAGCAAGATTATTTTGGAGTTACACAAAGCAACAGTCTATAAACATGCAACGCTTTTCACAAGCTCCCAGCACACAATACTCTCTTGTCTTCGCCCCCCCCATCTCATTTGCAACCCTGCTTAAGTTCCCATGCAGAAGGAATATATTCCCATCCTCCCGCAAACTGAGCCAATCGTAAAGATGGAAAGTTTCATCAATGAAATTAAAAGGTCTAAAGGTCTAACACGAACTCCCCCCCAGCCCCCCCAAGTTGTAATGAAAACACTAAACAGTAGGTGTGCTTGGCTTCCAAGCATAGTGGCATATATCTTTTCCAACATGTCCCTATTGCAAAAACAATTGCCAAACTACTGCAGAAATAAAAAGAGACTGCCAGCGCTATTTATTGCTGCGAATCTGACATGTAGCCCTCTCCAGTTATCAAAGTGGTAATCTTGCCCTGGGCAAACTGACTGGATAATCCCCAAACATTTTTAAAAGAACCCTCAAAAGGTTTAGCACGCCACATGCACACATAAAGCCCTCAGCGCTAGAAAAAGTTAAGACACACTTTCTCGCCTACTTTGCATAATTTCATTCAGCCCCAACCCCCTTCGGGCAAAGAGCATCCTAATGAGGCCAGAATCCCATTGAGCTTTTGAGGTTTAGGGGTCAGTGCTCCAAGATGACCATATGGGGACAGAGAGGGGGCAGGGCTGGTCCACTAAGCCTTGTACAAGACGTTTGCCGGGGGGGGGGCAGCATCCTCCCAGGGGGCCCCCAGTTTCCAGACTGACCCCCGCTTCATCTCACGTTCGCAGCCCTCAGATGCAGGGCAGCTGGTGCTCCTTGGAACAACCAAACAGGCATTTGGCCTGCTGAATGGCATCCCCCAAGGCAGAAGGGGCACGTGGGCCCGGGATCACAGACAAACAGCCCTTTCTGATACGGCAAGGGTTGCCATAAGCAAAACAGAGAGAGAAAGTACAGCCACATGGAAAGAAATGCCCATGTTGGAAGTTATAGGGTTTTTTGTACAAGATTAGGAGTGAATTATTGGAGACGGGGCACAACTGCAATAGAAACACTTGGAAAATGGGGGGGGGGGAGTTTAAAAGTCCCCCATATTATGCATCTGCATAACTCTTGCTCTGGCAAGCTCAGAGTGCTTCATGCAAGGTTCCGAAGCGGAATCCCATCCAATGGGGACTGATCCTGGAAAAGTTCATTTCTTTGGAGCAACGCTGCATGAACTCACACGTGCTCGTCCCGGGATCCAGGTTTCTCTTTAAAAGGCAACAAGTTGGTAGAGAACCAGAAACACCTTGAAGTCCCACTGCTTTCAACCCAAATTACTTCCAGGTAACCCTACTTCAGATCCTCGGCTCTGAAACATAACCGCTTGGAAAGCAAGACTTGCTGGTTCCAAAGCGTGTGACTTCCCCGGAAGGAAACGGTGCAGTCCTGAACACATTCACTTTGAAGACCGGGTCCAGTGGCCCCTTTAAGGCCAGCATCGTTTCATTCTGGGTGTAAGAGGTCTTACTTTGCACACCATACAAAAAGAAATCCTCAATGAGTTTATTGTTGCTCAGGAGTGTCTAGCATAATGTGTGAACCTGGCCTTAGATCCCACACCCTGGGGTGGGACTTCCCTAGTGGAAGAGGATCCAATATCACGGCTTTTATTTTAAAAGAAGCCCTGTGGTTTCAAAAGAACCGGAGTCCAAGCTGCATGGAAACGCAGTTGGGTATCACTAATCTGAACAAAGGCGTTTCAGTGTGGCCAAAGGCAAGTGATTTCACAGGACGGGACTTCCGAGTAAGTTTGCCCAGAGCTTCAGCACAGCTCCCCAAACCAAAGTTCCACCAAGCCTTACTCCTTATCCCTGCCGCCACCCCAACGTCCACGTCCCCCTGTCCTGAGCCACCCCAACCCCTCCTGATACAGAACATATTTCCCCACAAGCCAGTCCCCTCTGCTCAACTAGGGGCCGGCAGCGCCGTCGGCTTCAAACTTCAGCCTGGCCCACTGACCCCCAGCCACCCTTGCTTTGCAAGTTGATCGGAACAGATCTCATTTCCAAGGAAGCCCCTCTCCCTTGGCTTTAATCCAGGCAGGCTTAGTGAAAGTTTATCTTAACACAACCCAACTGCATCAGGCAGCAGCAGTTTTGGAGTGACTTCGAGCACAGTTTTGCTGAGGAGTGAACCCAATCAGAAGGTTCCCTTATCCCCCCCCCCC